TCACGGCCTGGGGGGGGGGGGGCGGCCCTGGGGGGAGGCCGGCCTGGGGCCAGGGCTTTCAGGGGAGCCCCGTCCCTTTCCAAAGACGTCAAGCCCCACGTCTGCCTGTGGGGCCTGAGTTTCTTTCGCCTCCTGTCAGGGCCAGACCCCGGAAGACTATTTCCTGTTTTGGAAGATGGTTGTAATTTAAATGATTGTTTTAATAAAAATTCTAAGCCGTCACAAGTTTGTCTCGGGCTTCCTCCGTCCGCTTGCTGCTCAGGCCCATGGAGGTGGCAAGACCACTGGGTGCCGACCGCCCTCAGTGCCTCACTGTGGTGCTTGCGGCCTGGTCCCAGGGATCCCTGAGCAGCTGCTCCGAGCCCCCTCCCACCCTCCATCCTCTGCCTGTAGTCCTCGCCCGCCACCCGCCCGCCGAGAGCTGAGTGCCCGGCCGCTGTTCCCAGGGCTGCCCACCCCAGGAGCCTTCGCCTGGGAGGGTCGAGTAGGGAGCCACCCAGGGTAACGATGAGCTGGCAGCGGGACTCTGGGGGGAAAGGTGTTGGCGAGGAGATTGCTGCGACGTGTCCAATCCAATTTCTTGCGAGTCTGAGGAGGCGACAGCCGAGCCGCCCGCACATTCTCCGCCTCCCTCTCAGCCCAGGCGGCAAGGGAGGCCACCCGGCTCCGTCCCCTCCCGCACCTCCCAGGGCTCCCTGGCAGCCTGTCCTTGCTGCATTATGGCAGGAGCTGCGGCCTCAGTCCCAGCTGCGGTGGGGGCGGGGGCAGGAGTCCGGAGCTTGCTTCTAGGGAGGCAGCTGGGCCGGGCGTCAGCAGCACGGTCATCAGCACACGAGGACCGGCACACGAGGCACACGAGGGCTGACTCAGAGGAACCCCACCGCGTCCTCCCCCGGTTTCCACTCAATGCCCATTTCTCACTGGGATGCTCGCCCCAGAATAGCTCCTGGCAGGCTGCCTCGGAGCCCAGGAAATCAAGACATCTCCTTGATTCCGCAGCCGGAGCCGCCGGAGCCCGGCTGGCCAGTCCGCTGAGCCGCACGCTCGCTCTGTGCCACCCCTTCCCTGCAGGGCCAGGCGCTGGGCTTCCCGCAGCCTCTGGGCGCTCCCTGTCTGTCAAGAGGGTTGACAGTGATGCCTCCGGGCACCTCTGGGACAGCGTCAGGGCCGCACGAAGAGCAGATGCAGAAAACACTCAGCTTCCGATGACAAAAGGGGTGAGGAGAGGTGGCGGCATTACCATTACTTACAAGTAATCAAAGCAGCGAAGACGCACGAAATCTGTTCTTTGCACCCAGCCACGGGGAGGGCTGAAGAAAGGACACGGCTGAGGGGCTCAGGGCCTTCCTGACGGGGAACTCAGAGAGACCTGGGTTCCAGGCCCAGCTCAGCCACTTGCCAGCCGGTGATCCCAGGCAAGTCACCTAAGCTTTGGGCACAGCAGTGTCTTCATCTAACAGGGGTATCAGCCCTGGCCGGTTTGGCTCAGTGGATAGAGCGTCAGCCTGGGGACTCAAGGGTCCCGGGTTCAATTCCGCACATGCCTGGGTTGTGGGCTCCATCCCCAGTGTGGGGCGTGCAGGAGGCAGCCGATCCATGATTCTCTCTCATCATTGATGTTTCTCTCTCTCCCTTCCTCTCTGAAATCAATTAAAAATAAATAAATGAAAATAAGAGGGGTGCTCTAGGGTGCTGTGGGGATGAATAATGCCGGGTCTGAGGAGGGTGGCTCTTTTTCTGGGTGTTTTCTCGGGATGGGGGGCTGCAGGGGGAAGCAGAGAACAGAGCAGGGGTGACCCAGAGGCGGCCCTGGCTCCGAGGGCCCCAGCCCACCTGTGGCCCCCACACGGGCCCCGTCCCACCACCTGGGCCAGGAGCTTAATGAGCCTGCATCTGGCCTGTTTGTCCTGCCGTGTTTGCCCAGTGCCAGCTGCAAAGCCCGGGAGATGATGGATCACCCAGGCGGGGGCTGCCCGGGAAGGAGGCTCTGGTTTGTCACATTAATACTCGCGGCTCCGGTCGATAATGGACTGGAGGCTCCGGGCGGGAGAGGGGCCGGGTGGGCAGCCCTGGCCGCTGCCCCTGGAACCCTTCCCAGAGCACCTGGGCACTAGGGAGGCACCGCGGCGGCGACCGGCGACCTAATTTTCTCTTAAGCGGCATCAGGAAGAAGTCCCCGTGGAGCCTTGCCCATTTCCAATATAAATAATGTAATTCCCCTGCCCGCCTGCCTGCCAGGGAGGAGGGGGCATCCTTTGATCTGCAGGAATTAAGTCAGTAAACAAAAGTGGAGAAGGCTGCTGGGGTGCGGGCGGCTCCTGGAGGCTCCCCCTGTGCCACCGGCCCTGAGAGAGAGGAGTCAAACTCCGGCAAGCGGAGTGGCCCAGTGGGACTGCCCCCCCCCATCTCCCTGAAGTCTCCCTTCATCCTCAGCTGAGGCCTGAGACATCCTGGGGCCCCCAGCACACACCTGCCCACCCTCCCCGACAACAGCGGCCCAGGTTGCATCGTGCATAATTTTCAGTGAAGATAATTCTGGAATCAGCTGCTGAGAAGGGCCCTGGGCTGGAGACAGCCCCCCCACCCCACCCCCATGCGTTCTGGTCCCTCCAGCTCTCCGCCTCCAGCTGTGCGCCCTTGAGTAAGTCCCTTCCACTCCCCGGGCTCCCGTGTCCTCCGCTCTAAAGGGCCAGGTTTGGACCCCGGGGACTCCGAGGCCCCTTTCCTGCCCCGGCAGTCAGTCTGCGAAGGGCATGTTTCTACAGGAATTCCTCCGGCTGGTCTCGCCGGTGTCACTGCCCAGGGAGCCGAAAGGGGACTGTCTGGCCCAGTATCCCACCGGGGCGGCCACAGGCACGCGCTGGACCAGAACCAGGGGCCCTGCCCGAACAGCCAGCCTCACGCCATCCCCACCGCTAGCCCCGCTCACCTCTGGCCCACACTGGGGAGTGGCGATGGTCATGCCAGTCCTGAGTTCATGGGAAGGGCGGTGGGCAAAGGGGCAGGCGGTGGGAATCGCCACTCGGGGCTTCCCGCCGCCTCCCCCGGAAGGTAGAGGG